CACCTCTCAGGATGACTCGAACAATACAGTAGTTTCGCAGGCCCAATTCGGGCAGCAGACCGAGTTCCGAGCTCTGGATTCGACAGGCGGATGCGCCTGATCTCTTCAAATCAATTTCTCTGACCACCAGCACTATAGCCCCCCTCAGCGCGAGTTGAGTGAAGAAAACCGAGAGCACTTCTCAAGATAACTCGAACAATACAAATAGTTTCGCGATTCTAGATCGGGCAGCAGACCGAGTTCAGAGCTTTGGATTCCACAGAAAAACGCAACTGATGATTCTGAATCGGTTTCTGTAACTATCAGCTCTGTAGCTGTCCTACAGCTCGAGTTAAGTACAGAGAACCGAGAGTTCCTGTCAAGATGACTCGAATAATACGAATGGGTTTGTCAAGATGACTCGAATAATAAGCTCGGCTAACAGACCGAGTTCAGACCTCTGGATTGAACAGGCGAGTGCGCCTAATTATTCTACATCGATTAGCTGTGCTTACCAGCTCTGTAGCTGTTCTAAAGCTCGAGTTATGTTCAGAAAACCGTCAGCGCGTATCCAGATGACTCGAAACGGCCGATCCCGCCACAGTGCTTTTCGATAGTAATATTCACCCGATCGAGCTGAGATCAAGATGGCGAGCGGGAATAAGATCGAATATCACGGGAAAAAATACTAGAGCTCTAACGAATGGTTCAATTTCGAGAACACAATTTTCAACCGACCAAAAGTCAGCAAAAAATCCGTCGAGTTTTTGCGAGCCAACTAGCCCACCAGTGCGTCCGAACTGGCGCTGGCGGTGTACTGGGCGCCGGCGGTAAACCGTCAACCTTTGTTACTGCCGGGGGACTCGTAGAGCTTCCTGACCAGATATAATGTCGAAAAAAAATGCACCGAAAAACTGGTTTTCAGCCCAAGGAATTTCAGACCTCTCGGATGCAACAGCCGAGCGCCCCCGATGCTGGATTGTCTTCTGTACGAGCTCTGTAGCTCTCCTACAGAGTTACGTGCGTAAATCGACAGCACCTCTCAGGATGACTCGAACAATACGAATAGTTTGGCAAACCTAGCTCGAATATCAGACCGAGTTCAGACCTCTGCATACGACAGGCGGACGCGTCTGATGTCTCTGAACCGATTCCTGTTATTACCAGCCCTGCAGCAACCTCCTTCAGCCCGAGTTAAGTGCAGGAAACCGACAGCACCTCTCAGGATGACTCAAACAATACGAATAAATTCGCGGACCTAGTTCGGGCAGCAGACAGAGTTCGGAGCTCTGGATTCGGCACGCGGACGCGCCTGATGTCTCCGAATCGATTGCTGTGATTACCAGCCCTGCAGTCCCCTTACAGCTCGAGTTAAGTGCAGAGAACCGACAGCATCTCTCAAGATGACTCGAACAATACGAATAGTTTCGCGATTCTAGATCGGGCAGCAGACCGAGTTCAGAGCTCTGGATTCAACAGACAACGGCCACTGATGATTCTGAATCATATTCTGTACGTATCAGCTCTGTAGCTGTCCTGTAGCTCGAGTTGAGTACAGAAAACTGAGAGCGTCTGTCAAGATGACTCGAATAATACGAATAGGTTTCCGGACCTAGCTCGGCTAGCAGACCGAGTTGGGACCTCTGGGTTCAACAGAGGAATGCGCCTAATCATTCTACATCGATTAGCTGTGCTTACCAGCTCTGTTAACTGTGCTGAAGCTCGAGTTATCTTGAGAAAACCGACAGCGCGTGACAAGATGACTCGAAACGGCCGATCCCGCCCGTGTGCTTTTTGGCAGTAAAAGATGCCCGATCGAGCTGAGATCAAGATGGCGAGGGGAATAAGATTCAATATCATGGGAAAAGTACTAGAGCTCAAACGAATTATTCAATTTTAAGAACAAAATTTTCAACCGACCAAAGTCATCAAAACGTCTGTCGAGACTGGGCGCCGGCAATAAACCGTCAACATTTTTGTTACCGCCGGGGGGCTCGTAGAGCTTCCTGACAACATATAATGTCGAAAAAGCACTGGGCGCCGGCGGTAAACCGTCAACCTTTGTTACCGCCGGGTGACTCGTAGAGCTTCCTGTCAACATATAATGTCGAAAGAAGTTACACAGAAAAATAATTTTTCAGCGCAGGCAATTTGACACCTCTCGGATGCAGCAGCCGAACGGTCTGCTAGCTGAGCTAGGTGCGCAAAGCTATTCGTATTATTCGAGTCATCTTGACAGGCGCTCTCGGTTTTCTGTACTCAACTCGAGCTACAGGACAGCTAAAGATACGTGCAGAATCCAATTCAGAATCATCAGTGGCCGTTGTCTGTTGAATCCAGAGCTCTGAACTCGGTCTGCTGCCCGATCTAGAATCGCGAAACTATTCGTATTGTTCGAGTCGCTTGCGAGATGCTGTCGGTTCTCTGCACTTAACTCGGGCTGTAGGGGGGCTGCATGGCTGGCAATCACTGAAATCGATTTAGAGACATCAGGCGCGTTCGCCTGCAGAATCCAGAGCTTCGAACTCGGTCTGTTACCCGGTCTGTTGTTCGATGATGATGATGATGATGATGAAGCGCCTTGAAAGGTCGGTTCTCCCAAAACACAAACCTGAGAAGCCACCAATACGCCAAATGCGAACGGTAGAGAAAGAGGGAGGCGGGAGGAGAGGCGGGAGAAAGATGAAGCAGAAGAAAGGTGAAGCCCAGCCCAGGATTGAAACCCATGATACTGAAAGAAATCATGAATGATAGATTGTCCGATGTCCCAAATGAATCCCACCACAAGGTCTCTCTTGTTTTGAATGAAGAAGAGAAAAATGAGAAACGTAATGCAAGATAAAGGAGTATGCTCAAATTGATCAACAATCTTGAGTGGCTTGAGTAACTCTTGAAGCCAATCTCGTGGGCATATGGTCCCAAGGTCTGAAGTAAGCAAGAAGTGAAGAAATCTTTCATTGAGTCCCATGAAACCCATTGAACATAAGTATCAACCAAGACGGATATATGTACTGAACGAAAGTCTAAAATAGAAACTGAATGTCCCAAGCACGCAATGAACCCAGAAGATACGGAGGCATACAAAATGGAATGTCGAAGCCGAGTGAGAACTCAACCGTGACAACCCACCCCAGGCATATCAAGACCAATGGAGTAAGGTTGAATTCAAACAAGTATGGAGGGCGCAAGATGGACATGTTTATAACCTTTTGTATTTTGCCAACCAACAACGTTGAAGAACATGCATAGGAGAGGTGCTGTCGGTTTCCTGCACTTGACTCGGCTGCAGGCGGGGCTACAGGGCTGGTAATCACAGGGCTCGATTCAGAGACATCAGACGCGTCCGTCTGTCGCATGCAGAGATCAGATCTGATACTCGAACTAGGTTTGCCAAACTTTTCGTATTGTTTGAGTCATCTTCAGAGGTACTGTCGATTTACGCACGTTACTCGAGCTGTAGGAGAGCTGCAGAGCGTAAAGAAGACAATCTAGAAGCATGAGGGGCCGTCTGGTTATTCTGAATCGATTAGCTGTGCTTATCAGCTCTTTAGCTGTCCTGGAGCTCGAGTTATCTTGAGAAAACCGACAGCGCGCGACGACGACTCGAAACGGCCATCCCGCCCGTGTGCTTTTTAGCAGTAAAAGCTACCCGATCGAGCTGAGATCAAGATGGCGAGCGGGAATAAAATCGAATATCACGGGAAAAGATACTAGAGCTCTAACGAATGGTTGAATTTCGAGAACAAAATTTTCAACCAACCAAAAGTCAGAAAAAGGTCAGTCGAGATGTTCCTTACCAACTAGCTCTCCAGCGCCCCGAAATTACTCTTAAGCTTCCAGCAATAACTTGCTTAGGGAAGCTCTACGAGTTATTACACAGAAAAAGAAAATTTCAGCGCAAGCACCTCGGTTACCGCCGAGCTCGACTTAAGTTGAGACGCCAACAGCATCTACCAACATTCCGACTCATAGTGAACTTGGTATCTTCGAAAACCCCGAGAGCAAAGAGCAAACACATCAGAAGACTTCTCTCGCGAGCCCTCGAATGCTCTCGGAAAGCTCTTCTGGCACTCTGGGAAGCTCCCCTGCAGCGCTGCTGAAGCACTGCTGGAAACGCTTCCAGGCGTTCCTGCACGCGTGCAGGCACGCGTGGAAGCTTGCCGGAAGCTCTCCCAGACCAGCTGCCGGCTCAGGCGAGCTGCTGCGAGGATCGTGGAGCGGCGGAGATGGGCTGCTGGCGGGCGCAACAACCGTCGGGCTTCCACTATTAAACCCTTTAGCGCTCAGCGAGCTCCCCGGGAATATTGTTTTACCTCTGAATGCGACAGGCGGACGTGTCTGATGTCTGCGAATCTACTGAAAAGCCTTCCTGGCAAGCCCACGTAGCTCTCGTGAAGCTCTTCTGGGGCTCGGGGGGCTTCCCTGCAGCGTCTCGGATACGTTGCCAGCAACGCTTCCACGCGTGTCTCACACGTGGAGGCGCGCGTGGAAGCTTGCCGGAAGCTCTCCCGGACACGCTGCCGGGTCGGGCAAGTTGCTGCGAGGATCGTGGAGCGGCCGAGATGGGCTGCTGGCGGGCACCACCACCGTTCGGCTTCTAATCTACAACGTTCTAGCTCTCAGAGAGCTCTCCGGGAAAAACCCGAAGAGCGAAGATACCTTTTCGGAACGGAATATCTTTCCTGGAGAGCTCTGGGAAGCTCCCCTGCTGCTGCTGAAGCGCTGCCAGAATCGCTTCAACACGTGCCTGCACGCGTGCAAGCACGCGTGGAAGCTTGCCAGAACCTCTCCCGGACCCGTTGCCGGGCCGAGCGAGTTCCTGCGGGGAACGTAGACCGCCGTGGAAGAGCTCCTGGCAGGCACCAGCACCGTCCGGCTTCTAATGGGAACCGGCGGTAAACCGTCAACCAGATTTTGCGGACTTTGCGGTCGACTGTGCAGGCTTTCCAGCCTAGTCGGAGCAAGGAGCGGACGTATCCAAACAGGCAAGGCGTGAGTGAGCACAAACTCTTATTCACATCAAACCAGTCCGAAATACGCATGTTCAACCCGCCGTATGACAAGAGGCGCATGCTCAACGTCACATGTGAAGTAATCAACGAATTAGACAGGGAAACAACCCGTGGAAGAACGTCACCTGAAGAATATGAGGGGCTCCTGCCCTTTACACACCTGAAGCGCTTAGTGGGGCCCACAGCGGGCCGTAGAGCCATCATGGCTCCAGCGAGAGGTCAAACAGAGAAATAAAGTGAGGAAAACAAGAACAGGTGAGATACAAGCATTACAGCCTTCGCTGTTCTAAACCGAAAGTTGCATACAAGTGCGCACGAATAGCTTCATCCCAACTTGTCGAAACTCCTCGGGCGCCCGAAGAATATTATTCGGTAATCGCTGCACTTGGAAACCTCAAGAAACTTGGCCATCTCGGCGCTGTTCATTTGTCCTGTCAAGAACCTGTGCACCTCGAAGAATCCTAGAAGATCCTCCAGCGTCGCTTGCACATTCTGGAGCATCTCATACAGTTTCCGAGCATAATCTTTTTGGGCCTTCTTTGTAGGGAACCCACGTTCTGTCACCAGCTTATCAAACAAATCCATTCCGTTCTTTAAATACTGGATCGCATTCAACTCGTTGATGCTGGCAACAGCGTCAATCCACGCTTTGACATCGGCAATGGTGGCCTGAGAGCACGTCGATGTCCCCTTGACCTTGTCACGATCTCTCCCTCGAGTCCTCTGGCGCGACTCCTTCGATACCTCATTGAGCGTGACGGGGCGATTCAGACACCCCTGGGACGCTCCTGACAAGGCGCGGCTATCATAATCACACTGCACGTTCGGAGAAGACTCCGCACACGAGGGTGCCTCCAGCTCCTCCTCCGCCGCCACAGTCACTTTCCCAAGAAGAACTCCTGAAGATCCTCCCTCCATCCCAACGACACTATCTGTCTGACAGCCGACTTCACAATGAAAGTCCGCAACATCAACTGTCTGCACTCCAACATCAACCAGCGATTCAGAAGCCTGCACTCCAATATCTACATCAACCAGCGATTCAGAAGCCTGCATACGGCAAGAAATATTATCCGAAACAGTCTTAATGTCAGCCTCCTCCTCCTCCTCCTCCAAACTGCGTTTAACAACAGGTGGATCGCGCAACAAGAGATAATCTAGAACCACATCGGCAGTCGCCCGATCCAGCCCTGGTGGTGGGAGACACGTAGGTGGCACCAAACCATCCAGAGGCAAACGAATAGGTAAATGCACACAGTATCCGTTTTGAACAGCCAGCGCCCGACGCATAATGCGAGCACTCGCACTCAGCACGTGTGGCATAACGAAAGATTGCAGAGACTGCCTCGGAAGCACCCAGCAAAACAAATCAATTGAAGACAACTCAAGGCAATCAAACGTGTCAAATGAATGGCAGCGCAATATCACTCTAGGCGACAAACGTGTGAAACAATCAATTGAAGACCACTCAAGGCGATCAAACGTGTCAAATGAATGGCAGTGCAATATCACTCTAGGCGACAAACGTGTGACTCCCTGACGCGCACTCGATCCCACTGGAGGTTACCCAGGCAGAGGGGATCAAATGTCAAGCGCCTTGAGCCGAGATTTCTTGAGCCGGGACCCTCGTAGAGCTCTATTCTAACACCGCGCTTCTCGTAATACATCAAGAGAGCTTCTGAAGCGAGAAACGAAAAAAACGAAAAATCACGTTTTTCTGTTTTCAGCCAACGTTGGTTCCTCCAAGTGTTTTGATAGTAATACTGTACCTACAGACCTGAAACTTTTACTGGCAAGTGCGGCATAACTCACTACAGGTGCGCAAAATCTGGGTTCTCAAAATGAATTGTGAAATATCTTTCAAATATTCGCAAAACCACCCAAAAGTTGTCACATTGTCCGCCTCGGCCGGGTGGCCCAACTAGCTCCACCCCGCGCCGAAATTTCTCTAGCTCATCGACGACGAAGAGCTCTACGAGGTATTTCAAACCCTTTAGCTCTCAGCGAGCTTTCCTTCGCGAGGCCTCTGGGGCAAGTTCGCGAGGCCTCTGGAGCACGTTCTACGGAAGCGTATTGGAACAGACGCTCCGGAACACGCTGCGAAACCCGAGGACCCACGGGAGGGAACGTGGAGCGGTGGGCGGAAGGGTGCGGCGACGTACGCGCACCCGCCAGCTTCTTCTCTAACTTGGTAGCGTCCAAAACCCGGATAGCAAAGAGGCACTTACATAAACGAGCATACGCACATAAGCACGCACACACGAACACACACATACAAACACATATACATACACAAGAACACACATACGCCAGCATGCTCCACACACACGCGCACCCATACACACACACACGCACACGCAACACATCAACACGCAAACGTCGACACACACGCGCAAACGCGCACGCACAAACACACAGCACATCTCACACACACACAGAGGGACGCGCACACGCACACCAATCACACATGCACATACACACACGGGGGCACACACAAACACTCACACGCACACACGCACACACACACACACACACGCACGTACAACCCACGCACACAGACGCACACGCAAGCATCCAGGGAAACCCACGCACTGACGACCACACGATGACGCACGCACCGCAGCCACCTCAGCGCCCCCCCCCCGCGCTCCCCTGCCGCCCCCACGCGCCCCCGCCCTCCCCGCCGGCGCTCCGGAGGGGGGAGGCACCGCCCCATTTTGGGGCCGGCCCTCCCTCCGCCCCAACCACTCCGCCCTCGCGGAGCGCCGGGGGGGGGAGGGGGGAGGGGGGAGGGGGGGCGCGCGGACGGCGGCACCACACCGCGCGCGCACGCGCACACGCACATGCGCAGACGAACACAGACGCAGGATAGCAAACAGGCAGTCACACAAGCAAGCACACGCACATAGGCACGCACACACGGAGACACACAGACTAATACACAAGAGTACACACGTACGCCAGCATGTTCCACACACATGCGCACATACACACACACATACACACACACGCACACACACATCCACACGCGAACGTCCACACACACGCGCAAACGCGAACACACAAACACACATACATACACAAGAACACACATACGCCAGCATGCTCCACACACACACGCACAAATACACACACACGCACACAGACACACATCCACACGCAAAGGTCTACACACACGCGCAAACGCGCACACACAAACACACAACATATCACACACACACACACGGACACGCACACGCACGCGGATCACAAGAGTACATACACACACGGGGGGCACGGAGCGCCCCCGCCCTCCCCGCCGGCGCTCCAGAGGGGGGAGGCACCGCCCCATTCTGTGGCCCGCCCTTCCTCCACTCCAACCACTCCGCCCTCGCGGAGCGCCCGAGGGGGACGAGGGGGGAGGAGGGGGCGCGCGGACGGCGGCACATGCGCAGACGAACACAGACGCAGGATAGCAAAGAACCAATCACACACGCAAGCACACGCGCATAAGCACGCACACGCGTACACACACGGACAAACTCAAATCCATACATACACAAGAGCACGCACGTACGCCAGCATGCTCCACACACACGCACACATACACACATACACACACGAGCGCACACACGTCCACACGCAAACGCACACACACTCACACACACACGCGCATGTGCACCCAGACACACGCAGGGGCACACACACACACATACGAGACACACGCGCCCCCCCCCCACCCACCCACCCACCCACCCCCACACACACACACATACACACACACGCACAAGCGCACACACAGACGCAATGGCGAACACCCACGGATAACCACGCACAGACGACAACGTGGTGACAGACTCATTCCCCGACTGGTCAGCGCACTCTTCCACCGCGCCCCCAAGCCCCCCCCACGCGCCCCCGCCCTCCCCGCCGGCGCTCCGGAGGGGGGAGGCTGGCTGGCAACGACTCTCACGGGCCTGACGGCCCAGTCGCAGTGTCCGTCTCGGCAGAGACTCTTATTTGCATGATCATGCGAGTCAAAACCGTGCCAAGCACACGGACAGATGACAAGAGCGAAGCTCATGAGATATCATCCGCGTCAAACACGCGGGCAATACACGAGAAACCAAACTCTTATTCATCCGTGTGAGCACAATCTTTCACAATCCACGATCAAGTAAAGTAAGACTCAAACTCACCAAGCAAACGAACGATGTTGTGTACCGTACACTCTGCTGCGGATAATTCAGCCTGTGTGACTGTGCTCTCCGACGGAATCAACCATGCTTTTTCCCAGACGAGTTGCCAGGACACGGTCGAAAACTTTCCTTCGATCCTGTCGGACCTGGATATGAACGCCGCCTCGAGCCATGCACCACATCCTACTCCATCCTCAGATTTACCGCCATCGAAGGACCCCCTCAATGCGATAGGTGTTATATGTCCATGTGTGTGTGTCATGCAAAAAGAGCGCTTCCATTCGTGTGATCTGCCCTCGCGGGCATCATGTGTGAGTCGATCCGCATGCTCATTTACTTCCCGAAACTCATGCTTAAAAGGATCCCTGCCATTCGAAGGTGCCCGAACTCCATAGATCTCCGTCAGACCGCTCATGATGTCAATGATATAGCCTATTCTTTTTCGATACGTGTAGTCAGTTATCGCCCACCTCCCTAGGAGCCAAGATATGACAAGAAGAGAATCCCCACAGATCTCCACTCCAAAACCATGTGTTTTGAAATCCCATTCTGTTGCTTTCATGTTTGTTATTGCTAAACGTCTGGCGATGATTTCATTCTGGACCTCCTCCTCCTTCCTCCTTCGTTTACGTGTTGCCTCATTTCCACCCTCCTCTTCCATATCATACGCAGTACGTCTCCCTCCTGATCCTTTAACATTTGATTGGAACAAGCTGAACTTCTCCTCACCCACCGTAGATATTGCAAACTCTCTCCAGCTATCAGGCTGGAAATCTCTCCACCACTGATCACCCCAATATTTTTCGAAAGGATAGTGCCATGTATGTAGACCCGTCGCGTCAATCCCTCTTTTCCTTTTGCGGTAGCTTCCCTCCTCTGACCGTTTTCTTTTTGAGTTATATCTGTGCATGATATCCCCAAAATTCTGCCGCCATTCATCATATCGGATTCCGTATGCAAGCATTGCCAACCTTGAGTCCCTCCATGCTCTGTCACTCTGCGGCATGTCATGAGGTAGATATTTTGCAAACGACACCACATCCAGTGCAAGCAACCACTGACGATACAAGAATTTTTGCACCAGCGACTGATACCCATGATCATGAAAAGCTTTCCTACATCGGCTGTACTTCCGATGTGTATACTCGTCCCACGGCTCATCAGGAAGATGTCTCGTTCTCAATATTCTGAGCAAGCACTCTCCCTCAAACACATGAAGTCTCTCAATCGAACTTTCATCTGCTGCTACTCCATCTAATCCATACAATACTGTCGACTGAACAAGCTGTTGATATCTAGAATACTTTTCCCCCAATGGTATACATCTGCTGGTATAGAACTTGATGTCAACATAGAAGGCCTGTCTTCCTTTGTCCAATCTGTACGCTACATCCGCATGATATCGAGGAAATATAGCCGGAATACAGACTCCTAGGAGATGAACCTCAGCCCTTCTGCGAAATCTCAATTCACGTTCTGGGTCCTGAAATCCTTTGATCACCAGGTCCATGGTCGGAACGATGTGTTCATTCTCATCATACTCTAGAGGTTCACCGAAAACTAAATACTCCAGAGACGCCTCTTTCCATCGCATACTGTATTTCTCAAGTGAGTGTGTCATTGCCAGCATCATCTGAGCCAAATCCGACGCCGAGTTCGCCAGGACAACGATGTTATCAGCCCATAAGGCATGATTCAAGTAAATCGACACCGTTTCGACGCTCCCGTTTTCGTCCCTCGCACTCGCTCGAAACTCGACCCTATACCCCAACTTCTGTTCATCCCATTTCTCGAACAGTTCCCCCCACATCGCCACGGCAATACAATTAAAGGCAAACGGTCCTTCAGGTCCACCCGTACGTATACAGCGATCCCAGGACACCTTTGAGAACCGCTCGAAGTCGAGATTCTCACACGAGATCTCCACATCACTATAGACCAGGGACTCAATCATCGCATGTTGGATAACATATGGTATACTACAATATGCCATGGCAGAACTGAAGTTAGCAACCGTACAATGATCAAAAGCTTGATAAACATCTGCGAGAGCAACATGTAATTGGGGCCGGCCCTCCCTTCACTCCTTTTGTCCTTTGCAAGGCTGTGCAGGCCCTGGGGCCTAGCCCTACAACGTCAAGCAGCGCAGAGACACCCATCATGACGTACCTAAAGCAGGCTCAACTCTTATCATCGAGCAGCGAAGCTGTCTCTATAAATAAGAGAATCACGATTGACGTAAGTAAATCACAACAGCAGATATGAAAGTGCACCTGAAGGCGAATGAGCATAGAGAGTGGAAAAGAATGGCTGTCTTCGGCGTCGTGATCATCACAACAAACATGCAAGAAGAATACAATCTTAAAACTCGATAAGAATGAACAGCGAAGCTGTCACTATATAAACAACAGCGTAGCTGTCAGTATATATAAGAGAAGCAC